CCTCAGAATAATAAAAACAACCAGTGCTTAAGTATTTGGATTCGTCCGACACAAAAAAGATCACTATTCTACTTGTACTAAACCATGTTTTCCACATCAATGAAGCTGCTGATTTTGATGGCCTTGTGTGTTGCAACAGTGTCACATTCTGCCACACCGCAGATTGCCATACACGATTGCACTTGCCTGGAGAATTGTGCGGACACTACTGTGGCGTCTGGTGAGTGCGTACAGGGCACTCTCCCTGGGACCTCTCGGCGTGTAAGTTGTTTAAACGACGACGCAATGTGTGCGCAAATGCTTGTGTACGGGAATGCAACATGTGAACAGCCCTTTCTGGCAGGACAAGTTTCTCTTTGCGGGAACTGTACTAACCTCCATGGACGGTATTCAATTCTGCACTGTGATGTCACCACTGGCTCTGCGCGCCTGTCCACGTCGTGTGACTCGACGTGCTCTGTGTGCTCTGGGAAAGAGTATACTTATCCGTATGCAACATGTTCATGGCACGGGAATGGGAAAATGGGAATGTACAATCAGGGATTGTTCCATTGTGACGGGGTCTCTGTTGAGGAGTTCAATACGACGGACTGCACTGGACCTCTTACCGCCGCATACGTTCGCCCCTCCAGTGACAACTGCTATGTGAACAACATTACCTATTCCTGTGTACGTCCACCCAAACCAGCTGTATCAACCCCACCTGCGGGTGACGTGGTGACGTATGCGAACTGCCCGATGAATTCGACCCACTGTGGTAATGAATGCCAGCGGAAATCAGTGAGAAGTGAAACGTGCGTGGAGAACCCGACGTCGTCACGGTCCAAGTATGTTGAGATGTCGTGTGGGATAACCTCAGCGACGTGCGCAACGTTTGCTGTAAGTAACGGAACGGCTTGTTCAGCGATATTGGGAAGGGAACGTTACACCTGTGGTTCGTGCTCGCCATGGTTCGGTGGGAATGTGTACGCAAAACTTGAGTGTGACATGAAAGAAGAGGTGATTAATGCCTCGATTGGCTGCAATGCGGATTGCTCATCTTGTGTCTCGGCTGTGAACGAGACTGTGGGAAAGCTTGGCTGCTTCAGCCGCACATCACCTTACTACGCCTACTCACTGGACTTCCAGGGATTCGAGTCGTGTGCGACGGTGGAGGTGCGGGAGTACGGTGATGACAGCAGCTGCAGTGTCCTCAAGGCCCGCTACCCGATCGTGCGGGATGAATGCGGCCTCTTCGGGACGGCATCGTGCGGGCCCGTCGGTGTGGCGTCGGGCGGCGCTGACGGCGCAATCATTGCGATTGCCGTCGTGGCGAGTCTCATCGTGGTGGTGGGAATCGCAATTGTCGTGTACTGCGCCTGCTGCCGCCGCCGCCTGGCCCCAGTGAAGAACATCACACCAACATCACCCAACACCCCCGACGCGTAGTCACCAGTCCACCGCACGGCGGAGAGAAAGAATCCTTCTCCACCGAGATTCCACACGCACCACGGGTAACGTCTCGTATTTGTTTTTTTAATTCGCGAAAAAGAAAATAGAAGGAAAAAAGGAAAAGAGAGTACTACATTTTTTTTTTTTTAATGGTTCGGAAAAAAGTGACAACTGAGGTGGTAAATCATGTTCCGTTATTGGGAAAAATACAACTGATAAAATGGCTTGTTTAATGATTCGGAAAAAAGACAACTGAGAAGTCAACAATACCTCATTACAGGAAAATAATGACAACTGAAAAGATAT